GGAGGAGAAAGCCAAATAGGCTTCTAAAAAGCTTGTTGTCATGGCTAGAGTGGGGCAGTATTTCCTGCCGTCCCATCGCCTGCAGCTTTATAAAGCGCAAGTTTGGCTGCACATGGAGTACTTTTCTCATCAGCAGTCTTAGAAATAGTCCCGTTTTAACCTTTAAGTACGGAACCCTAAAAATTACCCACCACTGCGTAGATGATGTATACGAACATCAAACAGCCAGGAACCAGGAATAGCGTTGGGCCGATATCGACCTTAACCACACTAGAAAGTATTTTTAGTAGTGATGGGAAGGACAAAAAGGATATCTATATCACTACATAGTATAAAACAAATTCGTTCCGCTTTCTGTCTGTCCCTATGTGTTTAGATCTTTAAAACTACGCAACAGATCTTGATGCGGTTTTTACTAGATAGTGATTCAAGAGGAACGTTTATATGTATAAATAATACATTGCATCCGTGCGAAACCGCTAGTTAATATTATAAAACTGAAGAGTTTGTGTGTATGAACTTGCTAATCTCAGAGACTACTGATACCATTTGAAAAAATCTTGCACTGCAACACTGGTCACACTATTTCACGTTTAATTATTGTTAATTGTAACTATTTTGATTTTATATGTAAAAAGATGGCAAACGAGCTGGTGGTTCACATGATGCTAAGTGACAACCGCCCATTGATAATTGCAACACCCGTAGGGTTGTAGATGCGTTACCACCTGTTAATAAAACGGGCCCCGGCTACCTCACTTACCAGACAAAACGCAGAAGTATAAACCTTGCACTTCGCGCCATCTAATCATTCTTTTTTCTGAAATTCTACCCCGAAATACCCTCTCATGGGAAAGTGGGAGATGTTACACCCTTAACACCTTTAGGATTGGGCCTGTGGTTTCGCTCTACTTGGTTCCCGAAATCGACATTTTAGGATAGCCTCTTCATTGCATAGGCAACTGAAAAGCGACCTGGCAAACGTATCTGTGCTGTGAAACAGGTATTTCATGTTCGCCGGCGAACGCGCTTTGCCTGGTGTATGTTCAAGAGTGATCAGTAAATAAAGTGTGCAGCGATCGCACCTTGACGGTCATTGAGTAGTTCAGGCCTTTTATCACCTCGTCCTGGCGGCAAAAGCGCGACTTGTGGTTATCAGACCGAGACGGGAGAATTAAATTCTTTAACTTACCCGTTGATTCGTCGCAGGGATCGTTTAAAACGTATATAGAACGGCACCGTTTTGCATGCACAGTGCGAGGGGGTGCAGGATGGATGAAGAAAACTATTATTACCGTTTATGAATGACTGCTAACTAGCTACCAAATATTAAAAAAATAAATTTATGAACTTAATAAAAACGTACACAAAGATTTACAGCTTGCAACACAGAAAGCGATTTGGACCGTAATTTGAGCGAGAGAGCAATACCATTCTCCATCGTTATTTATACTCAAAACTGTGCAATTTCATTTTGTTTTGATTTTATTACAATGACTTATTGAGTGGCAGTTAAGTTTGTCGCGTTTCGATATACTTCAGAATTTTGGTTATGATATATATTCAAAGTCAAAGTCAAAATTTCTTTATTCAACATAGGCTTATTTTAAGCTCTTATTGAACCTCAAAAACTACCACTACAATATTAACATCTATCATCTAAATCAAGGATGAGCAACGCGCGGCCCGCGGGCCGCTTGCGGTCCCTTAAACATGTTTATGCGGCCCGCCAAGCATTTCTTAAATTGAATTTATTTTATTAAAATTGAATGAATTTCTCCCATCAATATATTGTTATAAAATTAATTTTAATAAAATGGTAGTATATACTGAACCGAAATATTTTTTGTTCGTTTTTCTGTTCTTTTCTTGTTTGTTTTTACCTTGCTTTAAAATTTTTATATGAAATCTTTACTTTTTTTTAATTTTATATTTTTTTATTCTAATATTTATTATAAATAAAGTTTCGTAAATTATTATGTGCGGCCCACCAAAAAAGTTTGAAATTTAAATTGGCCCATTGTTTAAAAAGGCTGCTCACCCCTGATCTAAATTATCATATAAATAACATAAAAATAAAATTAATACACAATTTATGAAAAATAATGAGAAAATAAACAAAAATTATGTATGCTTTATATAAATAATAATATCACATCGCAATCAAGTCTTAACTAGGCACATTTTCATTAATAATTTCTATGAATATTATCAACATCTCAATGCCCTGGCGCTCGAAGAGCCGTGATAGCTCAGTGTGTCCGGGCGCTTGCCTTCAATTCAATATACTCAAGCAAAAAAATATGAGTGTATGGAATTAAAAGCATAAAATATATTTATGTATTTAGTCTTGCAGCGGTCCGTGGCACTCCTCCGGACTAGCCCATTCGTACTAGGGATGAGTAAAAAAATATCGACATATCGATATTTTAGTTTTTGTATATCGATATTTCCAGCCGATATATTTGCTCAGTGTCCGGGCGCTCGCCTTTAGTTCAATATACTCGAGCAACCTGAGTTCGATCCCCGGTGCCGGCACCAATGAAGTTTTTAACTTTAAGTGCTGACTTATCACATGCTCCGCGGTGAAGGAAAACATCGTGAGGAAACCTGCATATTTTCGAAATAATAACAAAAAAAAATTTTCAAAGATATGTGAAATCCGCCAATCTGCAGTGGAGCGGCGTGGTGGACTATGTACTGATACCCTCTTTATAGAGGAGGCCTTTACCCAGCAGTGGGACATGTATAGGCTGTTACTTTACTTTTTCTACTTATTATCAACATAATTGTTTTGTTTAGTCAATTCATTGCACACCTGGCTAATATGACAAAAATGATTTTTCTGGTGTTTCTTTAAACAAGATTTCAATTTGAATTTAGAATGGCAAATTTTACATTCATGGGTTTCAATGTTATGCTTCCTCTTAACATGTTCCAGTCTTCTAGATGCTGAGACAAATCTTTCATTGCAAAAATTACATTTGTATGGTTTATCTCCTGTATGTATACGAGTGTGGTACAAGAGTGATTCTTTACTCACAAACTTGCCTCCACATTGCAAACACGCAAAATTTTTGTCTTTTGTGTGTTTCACAATATGAGCGTTAAGTTTACTTTTGGCATAAAATCTCTTCTTGCACCAAATGCATTCATGACCTATTCCTTCACCATGTTCAAATGTGATGTGGACCCTTAGTGTTGATTTTTGGCAGAATCTCTTTCCACACATGTCACAAGTAAATTTGGCATCAGATGAGGACTTTCTTGGTCGATTGCACTCTTGTAAAGTGATATGTTTATTGTATGTGGATTTTCTCTTATATTCTCTCCCACAAACCTCACATGCCCACTTGATTATGTGTCCCATTTCATGAACTTTTAATGAGTGTCTATTGTTGTACTTTTTACCACAATGAGTGCAAACCAAGTTAGAATGGCTTTCATACCTGTGTTGTTCCAGAATCCATGCAGAGCCATACCGTCTTGAACACTCTGTACATTTAAATACTTTTGGGGCATGTACTCTTACAAAATGCTGTTTTAAATTAAATGATGTTGGGTATACATTAAAACAAACCTTGCATTTGTAATTTTTTGAGTCATTTTTATCATACAATATTTCAGAGATACGAACAGCATGTAATGGCTTTAGAATTTTACTGGGATTATTTCTATTAGATGTTTGAAAAGGATTGTCTCGATGTATATTGTTATTACCTTTTGTTAAATTACTTTCGATTTCAAGGCAATTGCCCAGTTTAGTCCTATTTTGTAGACTTGGTGAGATTTTCTTATTCATCAATTTATTTTTATTTCTTATCCTTGTTTCACTATAATATTCTCTACTTGTAAACCCTATTGTACCTAAGGTTATAAATAATGTTTTTGAATAATGATGGTCATTTATCTTATAGTCTAAACAAGCACTCAAAGTATCTATAGTATTACTGATGATTTCCCAGTTTTCTTGACACATTTTTTTGAATTTATAACTAGTCACAGCTTGTTTTGAACATTGGGAACATATACCATTTGTTGCTATGTTTAGTGGAACCTTTAAAAAGAAAAAAACAATATTGTTAAAAAATTATTATTCCTAATGTATGTAATAGATGTGAATACTGAATTAATATCAGAAAAAAGCCATGAAAATATATACATACTTCTATGGGTAAAATAAATGTCATAATATCAGCAACACTTATAGTTTCTTCGTTCACGCTCAATTCATTGTCTATGTAGACAAAATCATCTTTTATTAAGGTTTTTAAACAGAGGCAGCAGAAATCATTATGTCTCAATAATATTTTTTCTAATATTTTATTTTCTATCGCCATAATTATTACAATAATTTGTTTCTGCTTCTTCTTTTTCCTTTTGGCTTGCTTTGTGAGTTATCTCCAATTAAACAGCTAAGTTATTCTTAAAAATCTCAGTTCTATAATATTTACGTTAAAATTTTAATAAACGAATAAAAACTTCCCAATCAAAATCCCAGACTAGTTGTTTACTTCTATAAGGTAGTACAACTATTAATAAAATTACAAGAGATATATACATGTAAGTATTAAAAAAATTGTTTACTTCCGCGAAAGGTATCAGATAACAGTGACACTGATGACAGTTACTTGTTTATAACTACGTTGAAATAAGTATCTAAATAAATGTGTCAACGCAATTCAATTGTTATCTGTGGGCTTCACTTGTATTATTTGTATAATTAAATATGTTGACTAATTTTAAAATGTATTTCAAAATCGAAAAACGTTACATAAAAATTTGATGAATATTATTAAATCAAAGTTGGAATCGAATGTGGTTATTTCCATGAAAGTTTTCGTGATTTGTTTAGTACCTTAGCGTATCGTGATTACGCCATTTTGTTCTGTCGTTCGTTTCCATTAAAGATTCTTGAACGAAAAAGTGCCAAAGCCCGCGGATATTTTGAGTTTCGGACTAATATTGATATCGTGATTTTTGAAGTTTATGCAATTAGAATGATGGACGATATAGATTTAGGTACTCTAGTTTCGAACGTTATAGCTGAAAACCGTTACAGCCATTGCAGGTTATGCCTATCACTTATTCAAGCCCAGTACGTGCGCTTTAGTGATGCTGTATCCTTAGATCCTAAGAATAGGATGTTTCAACCGCTTAGTGATCTTCTTGAAAGACTATTTGGAGATATTGTAAGTGAATATTGATACTTTGTGTTATGAAAAATTTTATATGAAGAGTAAACATCACAATAACCCTTCTTCTTACAGTTGTGCGATGAAGTTCCTGGCATTGACGCAGTATGTACTGCATGTGTAGACAAAGTATTGGAAATGGTTAGATTTATAGAAATGTGCCAAAAGTCCACAGATTTAATAAATAAAGTATTTGATAAGTTGACAAATGCATTAAATATAGATCTAGATACAAGCGATAAGGAGCGTGCTTTATATATAATTGTGGAAGAAAACCAATCGAAGCTGCTTTGGATGAAAAAGGAACAAAGAAGAAAAAGAAATAATCAAGGAATCAAACGAAGAGAAATTGTTTGCTATGAATGTGACAACCTGTTTGATAATTATTTTGATCTCAAAGCTCATAACCTTATGAATCATAATTGTTATACATGTGAAAAGTGTCTTGAGACATTCCTTAGTGAATCTGAATTAACTCTGCATGAAAGCCATATGCACAAATACAAATGTCCAGAGTGTCCACAATTCCGAAACACTGAAGAAGCTCTGAAAGAACATCAAGAAAGAATGCATGATATTATAGTTTGCAAAGAATGTGGCAAGTCTTGCCATGGGTTGGATAAATTAAGGTTACATGAAGAAAAACATAACTCAAAACACTCTTGTCCAAAATGTGGAAAGACATATACAACAAAAGATTTCTATATAAAACATGTTAAGCTTTGTATGGAAGACCTTCTAGATCCACATCCAACCAGAAGCAGCATTAAAAAGAATTATACTTGTGAGAAATGTTCTAAAGCGTACAGTACACCTGGTGGATTAAGGGTCCACAATAGATTTGTTCATGGCAATGCTAAACCTCATGTTTGTAATGAGTGCGGAAAGCACTTTACTGCTCCTAGCTACTTAAAAAACCACATGATCAAACATACTGGTGAGAAAAACTTTGTTTGTGACTTATGTGGCAGTAGGTTTGTTACAAAAGAGGCATTACTGTACCACACTAGAAGACATACAGGAGAGAAACCATATAGCTGCAAGATCTGCAACGAAAGATTTGTAAATGCCTCGGCTAGGGCAGAACACATAAAATTCAAGCATGTTGGACCCACTTTGATGTGTGATATCTGCCCCCGAAAGTTTGTCACATCTTACTTTTTAAAACAACACATAAGTAGACATCATGACCCATCGAGTAAATTATATTATGGCAGAAATATGATACCTCCCAATATGCCGGGTGAACAGAACATGAGAACTTTTCAAATTGAATATGAAAAATGACGAAACATTTTTATTGTAAATTATATGTATAAAACAATTTATGCATAAAATGTGATGCAATATGTTGTCCATTGAAGTTATGTAATTTTTATAAGTACTTACCACCACCTGTTTAAATTGGTGAAGATGAGCTTAAATATAATACATAATTGTAAATAAATATATGTTTAGCACTTGTTTTTAATACAAAGTAGTTAAATATTTTGCTGTTGGTATTACATTTTTATAACAATCTTAATAATATGATATTCTAGTGTTGCTGTAGTATTTAAATTATCGTTTATGATGTAAATCATAGTAAGTGATCATCACAGCTCATAAACTTCAACAAAGTCAGTTGTGAGACAAACATTAAGAGAAAACTTCACCATTATACATATATTTATTTTCATAGGAAACTGGGTAAAAAAAAACATGATAACTAATGTTTATATTTACTGTCATCAGGAAATGTAAATTCTCGCACCTGATCAGGTACATATAGTTTACTGTGTGGATTGGAGTGCCTTTGTACATGCTTCCGCAGTTGGTTTGCTGTTACAAATTTTACGTGACAAATGTGACATTCTTCTGTCGGTCCAAAGTGCTTCCGCCGTTTGTGTTCCATTCTTCTAGATGCTGATAGAAACCTTTCATCACACAAATCACATGGAAATGGTCTTTCACCTGTATGAAGTCTTGTATGATACACTAATGCTGCTTGTGTGACAAACTTACCACCACACTGATTGCAGCAAAATTTTCTCTCCCTGGTGTGTTTGACTATATGGTTCTTTAATCGACTAACCGCATCAAATTTCTTATTGCACCAACTGCAAGAGAGTACATTTCCAAAGCCGTGATCTGTTTTTAAATGAGTCCGCAAGCCATTTTTGCGTACGTAACCTTTTCTACAAAGGTCGCAAAAAAAACTTGGTTGCTTCTCCTCTTTATTCCCACATACCTTAAAATGAAACTTGTATGTATGTTTGGTGGTGAAGTTTTTGTTGCAGTGTGGACATTGATGCACCTCATGTTTGTCCATAATATGTGCTTTTAAAGCTTTCTTTGATGGAAGCTGAATGGAGCATTGGTTACAAATAGCTGTTATATGGTACATTCTGATATGTATTTTGAGCATTCTCTCTGTGCTAAACATTTTTGAGCACTTAGGGCATTGTAATCGTTTCGGAAAATGAATGCGTTCTTCATGTTCTTCTAACTGTAGTGGGGTAGAAAATATTTTTGGGCATTTCTTGCAGGGGTTCTTAAATTTGGTATGAATTTTCATATGCTTGATAAGGTGCAAACTAGAGTTGAATCGCTCACCACATTCTTCACATATAGAATCTGTGACCGTTTCTTTGACCTTCATATACTTTTGTCTACTTTTCATAATTTCTTTTATTTTAACTAAGGCAATTCTTTTGTCATTACATAAGTAATGCTTCTTACTTTTATACATTAAATTTCCCATACTATTTATCATGAGATAAATACTTTGAATATTATCTCCCACACTTTCAGACTTTGTAAGACTTTCATTTAGCTGATGTAAAACTTCAGCCCATTTGTTTTTTGAAAAAACACATAGTTTTTGGAACATAAAGCAATTTATAGTTAGTGTTGCACAGGACATACAAATTATGCGCGGTAGCAGCGGTTCCAAAGGTACCTGCAACAAGATATATTTTCTATAGCAAAACTGTATGTGAAATATCTCCAATGAAAATGTACCTATCCCGGCAGCTTAGATAATGTTGAAATGGCTGTTATAATTTTTGCAATAAGCTTTATATTTCTAGAACTTGACAGTTTTTAAGACAGTTATAAAGATGCATGCATTAGTGAAAGTTGCAACCAAATCGGTTAATCCGAGATTAGCGGGCACAAACAAACAGACAAAAAATTTAACAGTCATCGTTTTGGGTTCTTCATGTTGATAAATGCCCCCAATAATAGTTTTTCTCAAATCTCTTCCATATACAGACAACAATCAGTTACATTTTTATTATGTGTATAGATATAAGAAATAAGGTTGAGATATAACTTTTTAGAGGTCTTTATAGAATTGAAAATGTTATTATGATAGTGTCTCTAATTGATACGTTAGGGAAATAGGCGGTTTTATTGGGAAAACTTACACCAAGATCACGAAACATTGTTACAAAAGTAACCGTCTCATCATAATAAAATCTATGCACTCGAACACTGTCTTCGATTGATATCTCTCGTTTGTTTTCAGTAAATGCAAAACATAACCTACATATATGTTCACTTTCGCCACAGATGAATTTTAGTGTAGACATAGTTATCACATCGTTAGAATTCATAATTTATTTAATACTGAATATCTGCTAGTATATAATAATTCGCTGGTTATTTATTCTCAATAACAACACAAAAATGTTTGTTGTGACAGGTGAGTGCTGAAGTGTACCTGTACGGGGGCGAAAGTTATTAGGGCTGTCACTTAGACTTTATGAATACCAAATTAACGAATCTAACCAAATCAAGAAAACTATTAATCTTCGAAAGTTAAAGGTTTCCATATAATAACATAACGAGCGAACGAAGAATATCGATGGTGAACATGTGACTGGCTACTTAATACTACGCGCGTTATTTCCATGGCACTTGTCTATAGTGTATATCAAGGGTGGCCAACCGGTCGATCAAGACTATTTGTCCAGTCGATCGTGGCAAGGCAAAAATTATTAATAATTATGTAAAATAGACTGTGCAACGTACCTGATCACTGACCTCCCCACGCATCATCTTGTATAATTTTTCAAAATTCAAAACATTTTAAATCGACCAGATGTTACTTCAAAACGAAATTATTACTCTGTGCTATTATATATTTCTAAAAGCAAGGTCAACCCCAGGTCTAGAATTCTGTGCATTGGTTTCCATCGAGAAATATCCATATTTGAAGAAATGTGTTGAACAACTACATTCGTGTTTTGGTTCAACATATTAATGTGAGTTAGCATGTTCCTACTTAAAACAAATAATAAACACCGTTCACGCTTGACAGACGCTCATACATTAGATTCTTTAAGGTTGGCAATTTCCAACTAAAAACCTGAATCTAGCGCAAGATGCTTAAACGCAATGATCACACTAATATAATTTTCTACTAAAATAAATAGTTACTATCAATAATTTTCATTTTTATATTTTCCCTGCTAATAAAATAAAAATACAACATAATTGTGTACTGATCAATGCTGTTTCATTTAAAATTTTAAGTATGTAATTGGTAGATTGCACAGGGTGTCGTCAGTGAACAGTAGATCTTGGGTCTATCCAAGTTGGCCACTCCTGTTGTATATAGTGGTACGCTAAATGCAAATACATAATTAGAATTTGTCGTTCTATAGAACTTCGTTTTATAAGAATTCCACATTGCTTTGATTTATAATAACCAAGTGACCTATGGAGAAAATGAAGTTTTATTCTCAGTACCTGTAGGACCGTGCTCGGTTTGCTCGGTTTTTTTTTTTTGGTAAATCATGTATTTTGGAAATAAAAAAAATAAAAAAAAATGATCTGGTATAAAAAAGTAAAAAAAAAAATATCGTGATACGAACCGCGGCCGTCTGTTTTGGGGCCGCCCAATTACCGACCGAGCTATTACAACCTTTTTTTTTGCGGCGAAATTTACTGTCATATCCGAATGATATTTTTTATTCCCTGAAAACAGGGATAAAAGGACATTTTCTAAAATTGAAACCTAGCAAGACCGATTTTTCGCCCCAGATCTACGCACATACTAAATTTACATAATAATTATATATATACACAAGATTTGCTCGTTTAAAGGATAAGATATTGCATCCTCAATAAATTTAATTCTATAAATTTTTTAATTCTACTCTTCTACAAGTTTACTATAATATTATAATTTTCAGATTTTCTAATTGATAGAAAGTTTTGCATTGCCTGGGCCAAAGTTGTCGAAGCATTTGACCCAAGCTCATTCAGAGAACTTTTAAATTGGATGTCTTTCATATTCGTAAGTTGTTTCATTTGGGGGCTTCCGTAAGAAGACCCCAACGATGAGTAGAAGCGGAAAAAAAATTAAAATTTTTAATAAAATCGAAAAAAAAATTTATGCTTTTTTACAGTAACAGTCTGCAGCGCACTTAGCAACAACATTTAATGAATGTGCAAGTTATGGAATGTATTCTGCACAGATGATCATATCAATAGTACAAAGATATCTTAATTTCACAAATAATTATATATCGCATGCTTGATGCAATTAACTTGATAAATTATTCGCATGTTGTTTTGGATAAATATGACGTGTGCCCTTTTTTAGGGTTTCGTACCTAAAGGTTTGAAACGGGACCCTAATACTAAGACTCCGCTGTCTGTCCGGCTGTATGTCACCAGTGGCAGGCTGTATCTCATGAACTATGTTAGATGACAGTTAAAATTTTCACAGATGATATATTTCTGACGCCATTAGAACAACAAATACTAAAAAGATATTAAAAAAGTATTAGTGGTGGGTACTTTATAGATAATAATACGGAACCCTTTGTGCGTGAGTCCGAATCGCACTTGGCCGGTTTCTTTAAGAACATAAGTTTGAATATTATGTTGGATCAAAAACTGTCACCAAAAAATAATCTTACATAATTTTAACACTTTAAATCGAGTTTTAATCTAAATAGAGCCGTGATAGCTTAGTGTCCGGGCGCTCGCCTTAATTCAATATACTCGAGCAACCTGAGTTCGATCCCCGGTGCCGGCACCAATGAAGTTTTTAACTTTAAGTGCTGAATTAGCACGTGCTCCGCGGTGAAGGAAAACATCGTGAGGAAACCTGCATATTTTCGAAATAATAACAAAAAAAAATATATATTTCGAATATATGTGAAGTCCGCCAATCCGCAGTGGGGCCGCGTGGTGGACTATGCCCTGATACCATTTGTATAGAGGAGGCCTTTGCCCAGCAGTGGGACATGTATATACTTTACTTTACTTTTTAATCTAAATGATTATTATATCATTATAATGCTGCTACACATTCTCACTAAGTGGCGAGTAAGAATGCTTGTATAATTTACAGACTCTTTATATGGCTGATAATCGGGCCGACTGAAATTCTATACGTTTATAAAGAGCACAAAACCTTGTGAAAATAGAATTGAAAATAATAAACAAACAATGTCAACAATGAAGTTCGCGGAAATACACAAAGATTAAGATTTTGTAAAATCTTTACGCTGTCCAAAAAAAAGGTATATCAAGTATTAAATATTCCAAACCTATGGACTCCGTGCCGGATTCGAATTTGAAAAAATATCTTTTTGATACTTAAGTAACTTGGGCGCATTATATGACGATGAAATCTTACGCATTGCTGTAGGAGTCCGTCTGAGTGCACCGATTTGTCAACCACACCAATCCTCTTGTGATGTCAATGTAGATAAAAATGGTCTCCATGGGCTTTCTTGTCAAAAAAGTGCTGGCCGCGTTTCCCGCCACGGTACCCTGAACGATATCATCAGTAGGTAGGTATATCAGGGGTATTGTTTGAAGAAGAAGAAGAAACGTTTATTGACAGTCTAAAAACAAATGAATACATACAAAACTTAAAAATAATAATATAACTACACAGAAACTTAAAATAAATGTAAACATAAAAAAAACAAACAAAATAACAATAGTAAATGACGGTTTGTGTAGCAGCGTAAGACCGTGAAACGGACGGGACTCTGTTTGAGTAGACTAGTAGAGTAGAGTTTACTTGTGTAGACACTGGCTGCCTCTCATCTAAGGGGCACTTCGGTCAGGGCCGGGGCGGCAATCGGCTTCGTAGGCAGCTGAAGTAGGTAAGTGGCGCAAATAGAACTCCTATTCTTTGTTCAGATTATCTCTTTTTGCCATTTGCTGTTGAAACTTTGGGCCCGTGGGGTCCCCGTAAATGTAAATTTTTGAAAGGTCCTAGGGTTAACACCACGGCTGGTAACAAGAGAGCTGATTCTTTTCTCGCCCAAATGTTAAGCATTGCTATTCAGCGAGGAGCGTTCCTGGAACCATGCCGCATGGATTAGGTTTATTAGATAATATGTAAATCTATCTATTTAATGTTGTTATAGAACAAATTAAATAATATTTTTGATACGATTTCGATATTGAATATTTTGTATCGATATACAGATCCAAATATATCTGCTAAAACTTTCGATATATAAAATAAAAAATATCGATATATAGACAGTGACGTCTGACTTTGGAATAAAGGTCCTTGATACCGGGCCATAAAATCCAAAAAAAAAAAAACCTCTGACAGATGTCACAGATGTCGCTTAGGTTTAATATAAAAATGAATATTGTATAGATAGATGATACTACATAGATATATACTGCAATTAAAATTGTAAACATATTACATATTTGGTCCAGATATATAAAAGTACTCTTTGAGTTGCTCAGTTGTAGCTACCGTCTATACACAAATGTACATGGAACGAATCGAATAAACCTAAAATTAACGTAATTAGATAAGTGAATTGTTAAGATGACTCATTATCATTAAGTCTTGGGATAAATGCTCAAACATATTATGTTTAATGTGAAGAAATAAAAATAATTAATGTGACCTATGACGACATTGTGACACAACTTGTTTTTGTAATTTCTATTTATATTTATTAATTAAACCAAGGTGAAGAAGCGGTTTATATATATTAATTAAACCAAGGTGAAGAAGCGGTTTATATATATTAATTAAACCAAGGTGAAGAAGCGGTAAGTACTTCATTAGCCAATAGTATTAGTACGTCATTTGGTGCTTAATCTTGCAGTAGATTATTTATTTCTATAAAGAAAAATCCATTTTTCTAATGTTTGGCCGGAACTGGGTTGTTATAAAATTACTGAACATCTAAAAAAAATTCCAGGCCTAGACTTTGGGAATTTAATTCATGAGCGATTTTAGCAGTTTTTAAAAAGTGAAATTCTTTGTCCATCTATTTTAAAATTGTCCATTAGCCTCTCCTATATCGAATTTCATTTCTGTCCTACACTAGTGAATTTATTTGAATGTATTGTAAAATTGATAAAAAGACATTGTTTCATACTTTTCACCATACCAATAATTGATCTATTAGAATCCTAAAAGCAGTTTCTAACCTTATGATGTATTTTGAAATATATGAAGCATTGCACATAAGAATTTTACATGGTAAAAAGTTTAATTAATCAAAATTTATCTAAAACTTTTATACAATTTTTTTAGTAATGTTTGACGTAATTGCATCTATTACTTTTATTTTAAACTTATTAGTCCTACCCTCAACTAGATTGCGTAGAATAAGTTAATCTTTTATGGGAAAATGTATACGCTTTTACAAAAAATCCCAGAAAACGTTCAAGATGAATCCTTTGCTAAATTCAAAAAACTTGTAAAGGAATGTTTGTGTATTAATGGCTATTATAGTATTAGTGATTATTTCAATGATAACACACTCTGGAAATTAATTGATCGCTCCAGGCTCTTTCAAGTGGAATTTAATAAATTGTACACATATTTGTAATTTTTTTGTCTAATTAAAAAAATGTCCTGCTGAGTTTCATACGCCGGTTCCTCTCAGGTCAGTAGCTTTCCTTCCGAACCGGTGGTAGAATTTTTTGACTATCAATAAGTAAGTGTATGCTTCTATATTGAATAAAGATATTTGACTTTGACTTTGAAACTATTTCTAACATGTATTAAATGTTATTAACTACAAGAAGAAGTGAAGGAATAAAGTTTTTGTATGTTTTTCACAAATATGACTTTTTTAAATATTTTCTCTTTTCTAGATGTCGTCAATAATACCGATAATTTTGTCCGGAGACAATTTGGGTGAGCGACATCGTCAATTCAACTCATTGCTGGGAGAGGCATACCAGCAGCGAGCGTCGCTGGAAATTATTCTGCAACTTCCCGAAACTTCGCCCATTGACAAACTGTTTAAAATTGACTTTGCAGCAATACATCGCAATGTGGAATTTATCGTCGACGTTCTTAAGGACGAGAATATGTTGTACGTGAGCAGAGCTTTGAAATGCACTTGGCTCTTGCATCCCGAGTACCAGCACATCATTAACCCTGACTATTTGGAAACGCATCTGTACCCTTATATGATAACTCCGGCGGTAAATAAAATTAAACACTGGATACAAAACAATTTGAGAGATGCTAACAGGTGTCAAGAGTTCTATAGATATTATGGATCTGATTATGACATGAAAATTAAATTCCTTCGGCACTGTACAACCGAATTCATAACTTTCGAGTTTTTAAAAATTATAGACAAGGTAACACCGAAGCAACTGAAGATACTCTGCGAGTGTTGCCCGAAAGTTCTCAAGCTATATTACGACAATTTCATCAGCAATCCGACAGCATTGGATCGGTACTTACAAAATGAACGTCAATACATGGACTGCTGCAAATACGTATTGAAGGTGGAGCCTGACATCTACTTCGACGTGGTCGAAAGGTATCATGATCATAACACGCTAAAATCTCTCTCCCCGGTTGTCACAGATTACGTAATGAGTAAGCACAGAGGGCGGTTCCTAAACAAGCCCGAGCTTTACGCCGTATGGCTGCTACACAAGGAGACTGTAGCTAAACACCTTAACGACGAAGAGGCCAAGGACATCGTGCTGCGTTTAGCGCGGGCGGAATACTTGGGAAACTGGTTCTCATACAAGAACGTAGAGCCCTTCATCAAAAGGCTAAAGCCCGAGGAACGGGCCGCGTTCAAGAAGCGAGTGTTCGTAGAAAAAGCGATCGGCGATACTGTCAAAGACTGGCCGTATCCGACACCTGCTCGGCCGAAAGTTGAAAAATCTGACTCCGTTTTCGACGACATGTCGCACCGGCAACTGTTTTTCTATGAGCAAGCAAGATTCAAGCGTTGTATTAAAAAGAGAAAGATGGGTAACTATTGCCTGGAAGACGTGCTGGCGTGTCCGATTCAGTGTCGCAAAACGGTCCTCAACGAACTATTTGACCGGTACCGCTTCCACGGCTTCGATCGCACGTTGTTCGAGCTGCAGAAACTCCTGAGGGCGGAGAGCTCCGTGAAGAACAGGGAGTTCATGATGCTCGTTTTGGTGAGCAAGTGTGGCGAGAACATGGAGCAAGTGGACAAGCTGCTGCGGCTGTTGGCCGAACGCTACTGCAACGAATCGGGCAACTTGAGAGCGACCATTGTACGAAGCCTTGTGGTGCGCGCGTGCGTTTGGCGTTTACCTCCGAGCGCTTGGAGTCTTTTGCTCGACTTCGCCCGAGGGCTGGGGCTGGATGGCAACCCGCCGATGACATGCCGCGAGGGAATGCACGCCGTCGTGTTGCGGCTCTTACTCGCTGGCGAGGAGTGCCCGCAACCCCTACGAGCCGCTTTCTTAGATGACTTCTGCAATTTCACCGAGTACAAGTTAAGCGCGTCTGAAAAGCGAACAGTCCGCGAACGGCTGCCCGCGCTGCTCTTGACGGCCGCTCTGGCCGAACCGGATTCGGCCATCGACCGCCTCCAACTGCTGTTGGACACGCTATCGGGACTAAAAGTCCGAGTTACGGACTGTCCGGGCGCGCTTGAAGCGCTGATAGAGGCGGTGCGACGCGACCCCGCATCAGCTGAGAGCCTCCTTATTCGTATCTACAACCAAGGCGTCGCCCGACGCGAGCTGTTGAAGGAGAACTTTGAGCTGTTCAAAACGAACGAGTCATACCTGAACGTGTTACGTCACGACGCGACGATTCTGAGAACGACGAAAACATTCGAGGAGTCGCTGAAGAGTCACACGTTCAACTACGACGGCTTTTTGCGAAAGCTGTCTCTGTATTTCGGAGAGACGGGAGGGTTGGCCTCTCTGCACATTGAGGTGATAAAACGTGTCGCTGAGGAGCAGCCCCATGTGAGTCTTGCCCGACCGCTTGGCTTGCTATCGACTGACCTAGCTCCTATTATTGACGATTGCATGAAGGAATCAAAGGGCAGCCCCAAAAAGCAGTTTGGGACTGCGCTGCAATCCAACTACAATCTTAGAAAACTGGCTGACGTAGACGGAATAGATTGGCACTCGAATAGCGCGAAGGCTATCGTAAACAGAGTCATCATCTGCAGAGCTGTTGACGTCGATAAATATATACAAAAGGCGCTGAAGTGCCGTCGCACTTTAAAGCTTGCTCTTCTCCTCGCAGAGCGCGGTGGGGATCTGCCTGAGGTTTATGAGGCAGTCAGGATTATACGTCCCGGCGCTGCACTTCGCTCGGTGATTTCCTATTTCAAACGGAACCAGCATGGCGCGGTGCAAATCGATGTGTGGCGCAAAGTAGCACCTGTTTTGGAGGGCATAGACCTCTCGCTGCAACAACATCGTCAGCTGTCGAAGACACTTCAAAAGGGCGACTTCGTCCCTACTAGCATCAAAGCCGAGTACTACACCGACGTCTACAAAGCCTTGCAAAGAGCGTCCAAAGAAAAAGCAATTCCAATCATCTCCATGTTTGAAAACCTTTTACCCGTTATGGATACACAAGTCATTAGAAAAGTCATCGAACAGTTCCTAGAAGAATTCACTTTGGAAGCAATATTGGATTCATATCATGAGTCGTACAATTCTCTCCGAACTCGCATCGTCGCCAAGTATTTGTTGCTAAGCAAGAGCGAGGAACAGCAGAAAGAGAGGCTCGACGGTGTCTGGCAGCCGTTCTACGAGCGTTTGGCAGCCATTTTTAAAGAGGACGGCGACTCCGCGACGCCGTACCTGGAGCGGTTTGTGGAAGCTTTGAAATACAACAGGGCTTTCTTCGACAGCTCTCTGGTGTCCTGTGCGCCTGTGTTCGAGAGGGTTGTTGCGGATCTGCGCAAGCTGCTGCCGGTGGAGCGTTTCATCGATATCTATGTCGCAATCCACGCGACAATGTTGTACCGCAACTCAATCGAGCGAGTCCTCAGACTGCACCCGCAGGTGTTCAAAGACGCGGGGGCAAAACGAACCGTGGGGGCCAAGGCGGTAGGCCGTCTGTTCGGCAAGTTAGTGGGCCACGAGGTAAGGGAACTGGCCGCGAAGTTCTTCAAGACCATCATTGAGCCGTACCAGCGGAACCTCACTACGTTTATGCAGGAGAATTTCGGCGGAGACAACGGTAATGAATTCACGAACGCTTTCGTAGGGGGCTTGATAGACGTTGGCAGCACCGAGGCGCTGCGCGTTGCAGAGTTCATGCTGCACAAGGAGCGGCACAAGATCGACAGAGATCCAGAAAAGACGGCGCTCTTGAAGAGACTGGAAGAGTCGAATGACGAGGAGCTCAAGTTCTTTTTATACGCCGATTTCCACTCGGGCTGCTTGACGGAAGCCGGCTAGTAGAGATGTCGATAAAATATTCAATATTTAAATCATTTTCGAATCAAAACGATATTTTTTCAAATTAAAATCTTCAAATCCGGCACTGACTCTATAGGTGTCAAATATTTAACACTTGTCATACCTTTTTCTTGGACGACGGGGTTTCTACTTGCTTCGCCGAAGACATAAAGAGAAAATATTGATTTTTTTATAAAAATCGATATATGGATATATTTCTTCACTTTCGACATCCCCACCGGGCTAGCAAACGGAAATAAGTGGTAAATCTTCGATATCTAAAAGTTCAAGTGGTTACCAACATAACTTTATAAAAAAATGTTTTTTTTTGATAATTTTCATTACGTTGGCCAATGCAAGTTTGTACAGGCCAAGTCGTTATGGCGATTTCGATACGGAAGTTAAACCGCAATCTGTTAAAACTTGTTTATTGGCAAGATAATTCACAAAGCTTGAGTGGCATCTTTTGGAATTGGAAGGGCCGGAACAGTTTCATGCAAAAACAAAAATGAGTTTTGTTTAAATTTTAGGGAGGACCCCGTATTTTTTAGAATGTGTGTGGGTGATTGTCGTCAACGTCCAATTGGTTGGGAAGTTCTGGTCTAGGCAGAACAATCATATTGTACTAACACTACCTCATTCAGTCTTGTCATTAGGCGTTACACGATTAAACATAAACTTGCAGCCCGGCACCCTTTGCAATAAATATGTTAAGATATTTAATTTTGCTTTTTAATAATTATTGGCATTTAATTCAGAACCCATTTTACTGTTTTATAAACTTTTTAAATAAGTAAGATGTTTGTTATTTATTCAGTATGTCTGATTATTAAGAGGTCAGTATTAAAAAAATGGAAAAATATTGTGATCTCTGCAAAAATGTATTGAATCATTTATTAACTCTTATAAGATGTGAAATAGCCTTAACTGTTTTGTTTAGTTTGTATAGAATTAATATTTTGTTTCGTATTTTTCATTATTTGTATTTTATAGAGTTCTATCATGACAAAATATAAGAGCATGTTTAAATCAGTCATATTTTTATATGTAAATCGATTTTTTATGTACGTAATAATTTTATAATACAGGTTTTATAATTTATAATACAATTTTATAATATGGTTCAGGTTTCAACCACAGCATAGCATGAACTATTTTATTTTTATATAAGTAAACCATGTTATATTTTTAACGGTTTTATTTTATTAAAAAATATAACTTAGATCAAGGCATTAAGTTAAATAACAAAATAATATAACATGTAGGTACATACATCATAAAACTAAGTGAGTTCATCGACTATTTCTAATATACAATGCTATTTCTCTTTACTCAATGCCTCTATGAATTCTTCTAGCTTCTCTTGCACTTGTCTTACTCGCTCTGAAAGGAAAAAAAACATCATGGATAAATGTAACTTTGGCTCAGTCACAAAGCCATAGGTTTAGAGGTCACCGAGGACAAAAATATGTATAATCTATGTATAAGTTTTGACTGGTAGAGAATGCCTTTGGGCATTAAGTCCGCCCTTTGTCACCTTTTTTTTTTTAAGTTTAGTAATAAAGCGTAAATAAGTTTTAGATCTGGATGCTGGTCTGTATTTGATTTGCAAAACGCCGCTAAAACACTCTGAATATGGTATACTGTAGGGTAGTTCTTGATAAATAAAAAATTATTTATTTAAACTTTACATATGACCATTACAGTCTTTAGTCGGTTCCATTCTCGATCAGGACACACATAATTATGTAGATTAACTGTAATCTAACTTAAAGTAAGTTAGTAAACATATGGTGTTATATAATTTAAATTTCCAAGTTTCCAACTCCACATATTCAAAATAAGTATAGTGTAAATCTCATCAAGGACATCACAGAATTTTTCATGTATTGTTCCAACTTTAATGACAAATAAGGTATAATATCCAACCTAAATGTGCAAAGCTAATGACTGCACCACACAGGAAAAAATGATTTTCTTATGAACATTATTGAGCAGTAATAGCTCAGTGTCCGGGCGCTCGCCTTTATTTCAATATACTCGAGCAACCTGAGTTCGGTGCCGGCACCAATGAAGTTTTTAACTTTAAGTGCTGACTCATCACGTGCTCCGCGGTGAAGGAAAACATCGTGAGGAAACCTGCATATTTTCGAAATAATAACAAAAAAAAAATATTTTTCGAAGATATGTGAAGTCCGCCAATCCGCAGTGGGGCCGCGTGGTGGACTATGCCCTGGTACCCTCTGTACAGCCTGCCTTTGCCCAGCAGTAGGACATGTATAGGCTGTTACTTTACTTTTTTTTTATGAACATTATTGTCATGTAAGACCTAATTGGCAATTCTGAGAGGATACTAGTCCTGTTATTTAATTTACTTACTTAGTTCTTCAGCAAGCTCTACTCTTCTACCGGACAATAGTTTCTTCTTCAGTTCAGGATCAGCCGCCATCTGTGAAGATATAGTATGAGCATAATTTCAATTGACCAAATGTTGTTTTTTCCTCTGACTAAGGTATTCCTATTATATAAAAGGAGTCTAGAACATTACTAAACAGAGAAGTTTTTTTATCTTTTATATTTTAAATGCTTAACGCCTGAATCTAATTGAAGTCTCTTATTAATCTCTTATTAATTATCAATCGTGGCTAATTTCCTGACCTTATGAAACGTAGTAAAATCATTCCGGTGTTTAAATCTGGTAGTACTTCCGACCCCAATAATTTAAGACCTATCTCTGTACTGCCAACTCTTAGTAAAATTTTTGAAAAAATCATGTTGAATCAAATGTTACAGCATTTTAGCTCTCATAATTTATTACATAACAAGCAATATGGGTTTACTAGGGGTCGCTCAACAACTGATGCGGGTGTTCAGCTCGTTATGAATATTTTGGTGCCTGGGAAAAGTCGCAGGATGCCTTAGGAATATTCTGTGACTTAACCAAAGCTTTCGATTGTGTACAGCATGAGACCTTGGTCAGGAAACTACGCCACTATGGTATAAGAGATGCCGCACTCAATCTTCTGAAATCGTACTTGAGCCATCGAATTCAGAGAGTTGACGTGAATGGCAAGAGATCTCCCGGGGCCCTGGTAAATATGGGGATCCGCAGGGATCTATTCTTGGGCCTTTTCTCTTCCTCATTTACATAAATGATCTACCTTATCTTGTTAATAATAATCATGAGATAGTATTGTTTGCGGATGATACCTCTTTAATCTTTAAAGTAAACCGACGTTCTTTAAGTTATGACGATGTAAACAATACTCTATCTACTGTAGTACATTGGTTTAATGCCAACAATTTACTGTTGAATAATAAAAAAACTAAATGTATTAAATTTACAACTTCCTCCAATGTTAAACATGTAAAAACTGATGTACTTTTATATGGGGAAGCGTTGGACCTTATTGACTCAACTGTATTCCTTGGCACAACTATTGATGCCAAACTGCAATGGGGCCCCCATATTAATAGACTGGCGAGTAGACTAAGCTCAGCAGCTTTCGCGGTCAAAAAAATAAGACAGTTAACTGATGTAGATACGGCTCGCTTGGTATATTTTCGTTATTTTCACAGTATAATGTCTTATGGCATTCTGCTTTGGGGTAATGCCTCCGAGATTAATACAATCTTTATCTTACAAAAGAGAGCTATTCGTGCAATTTACAATCTGGGCCCCAAAGAATCGTTAAGAAACTTGTTTAAAGAGATAAACGTATTGACTGTTGCTGCTCAATACATTTTTGAAAATGTTTTGTATGTCCATAAAAATAAGGATAAATTTTTAAGACATGATAATGTTCATGATATAAATACTAGGAACAAAAATAAATTGATCCTACCCACAAGTAGACTCCGTAAAATAAGTAAGTCTTTTATGGGACAATGTATACGTTATTACAACAAAATTCCAGAAAACGTTCAAAATGCACCAATAGCTAAATTTAAAAAAAATAGTAAAAGAACGTTTGTGTGTTAAAGGCTACTATAATATTAATGATTATTTAAATGATAACACACTCTGGTAATGAACTGATCGCTCCAGGCTCTTTCAATCGGAGTTCTTATATTGTATTTTAACGAATTTATGTCAAACTGTATATTTAAAAAAAAAAAGCCCGCTCAGTTTTTTTCGCCGGTTCTTCTCAGTACAGTGGCTTTCTTTTCCGAACCGGTGGTAGTGTTTTGACTATTAATAAGTGAGTGTAATGCTCCTATGTTGAATAAATACATTTGATTTTGATTTTGATTTTGATTTATTGAGGAGGTCAATGGTATTGAAGTAAACTATTTTCAAAGTGTGTTTTACTAGTTAGTGATAATATGTTATGGGACATCTTTGTAGTATTCTTATTAAAATTATTGTCGTTTCTATGTACATACATAACATTTTCACATAGATATTTAAAGTATTTTCATGCAAATAGTTACAATATTTATTTCTTTAAATTCCTCTCAGAGATGCTTTCGAATTTGGGTTATGCTCATTTTTTGCAAAAAGAAGTATTGTTTCACATTCCACATCGGCTGCATGCCCCCCTATAGTTGTTCCGGACAGAGACGTACCTCGTCCAGCACCTCGCGCAGCTCCCTGTCGAGGCGCGCCGCCTCCCTGTTGCCGATCTGCTGGCGCAGCGCGTTGGCGGTGGTGCGCAGCGTCGACTCCACGCGCCAGAACATCACCACCTCGCAGCACTCCTTCTGCGGGGAGATCCCCACCGTCCATCGTTTTAGGACAAATTTTACTACGGGTATGGCAACGCTTGTGCTATGGGTACTAGATAAATGATAGCCATACTTAAACATACTTTTCTTTTGTAAATAAATACAGATATATAAACACCCAGACACTAGAAAAACACTATGTTCATCACACAGGATTTTTCCAGTAGAGGGGATCGAACCCACACCCTCAGGCGCAGGAGCCATGTACACAACCCACCGCGCCACTCATAGCTGCTACTGCATACCCTAGTTTCACAAGAGGAAACGGGTGTTACCTCTAGTGTAGATTTCCAACTCTACACTTAAAACTTCTCTTGACTGTTGCCAAATACATATTTTCCAATACTTTACACATTTAACTTAAAAATAATTAAATTTAATGAATATTCCACTGTAGGTTTTCATGTCGGTTACTTTCAAAATTGTTTTTAATTTGTGAACCAGTAGACAATAAAAAGATGAAGAACTACCATAGCTGTGAAAACTAAAGTTATCTAATACAATAGATTATAATTTATTCTGAATCTTAACTGATGTTAATTATATCAAATCTAAAACCTAAAATAACAGCAAATATGAATATAAAAAATAGTGAGATAATTTAACAACACACATTTTGATCCTGTGTATACATTTGAACAAGCTAAACTCACCCCAGTTTCATTTTGCTGACTGTACAGATAGAAGCTTTTCTTGCAATCACGTGCCCTCGCTTGTGCACTCTGCAGGAAATTTCTGGAAAAATAAATAGTATTCCATTTATTGTTGTATATATACAGTTGCTTTCTATTAGATACATAAACATATACAGTAATGTGTAGGTGATTAATTAGGTGAGATAAGTCCGATGGGTCGCAAAATCTTTAATACTAGATCGAAGAAACTTTGCTTATCAACCAAATCGCCCAGCGTGCTAAATTTGTTAACAAGACTCCAAATCCTCGTAAACAAAGTAATGCATAAAGAGATAAAATTCTTTTTGGTTCAGTTTTGGCATTTTAAAACTTGATTGTTTCAAACTGAAATGAACGATGTTAAGTATATGTTTGTTGGTGTGTTGATGTATCAATTATATGCAAAATGTGTGTATATAATTAATTCATCTACCTTGTCAATTTCACCTAAAACTCGTTCCTAAACAGTAGAAAGGCACTTTAAGTAGGTACTAAGGTAAATGGCTGATAATTTCATCTTAAGCGCGGAGTACTACAAAAATTCATTTGACATAAATCATTTGCAGTTTAACTGTTATTTCAAGTAAGAAAAAGCTTTACAGACTTCATCACTACATAGTATAAAACAAAGTCGTCCCGCTGTTTGTCCGTCCCTATGTATGCTTAGATCTTTAAAACTACGAGATCGATCTCGCTGTGCCCGCGACTTCGTCCGCGTGGAATTTAATATAAAAAAATTCTAAAATAAAAGTAGCCTAAGTTACTCCTTATTACATCAGTCCCGTCCAAATTGGTCCAGCCGTTTCAAAGATTAGTCGGAACGAACAGACAGAAATTGTAAAAAAAATATTTTGGTACATGTACCGTGTATACAAACATTCATATGCATTTAGTAAAAGGCGGTTATTTTACTACTAAAAACGGACACTCCAATTTTATTTATCTGTATAGATACATTGCACGGCAAGAGCCGTGATAGCTCAGTAAGAGCAGATTCCGAGTCCGCCAATTCGCAGTGGGGCCGCGTGGTGGACTATGCCCTGATACCCTCTGTATGGAGGAGGCCTTTGCCCAGCAGTGGACATATATAGGCATATATAAACGTATAAAGCCGCAAGAGCGTGCTTGCTCACTTGAGGTAGAGCGGGCTCCAGGTCTCGCGGATGTAGTCGTTGTCGACCTCGACGCCGCGCCGGCGCAGGTTGTCGCGCGCGGCCACCAGCTCGTCGTGCGCCAGGTTGGGCCTCCGCGAGCCGCCGCGCTCCAGCTCGGCGCGCACCTCCGCCCGCCGCCGCTGCTCCTCGCTGGCCGACTGCCAGTACAGCCAGCGCTCCTTCCAGCCGGGGCCTGCTCGTGGACATCTTTAATGTGAGCGGTTCACGATCTTGATGCGTTGCCACCTTTCAATTCAATGGGTCCCGGTAACCTCGCTCACCGCGCGAAAGGCAGAAGTGTGACACTCCTAATTGTGGTACTTCACGGGAAAGGGCCCGTCACTACCATATTTGTTGTAGCTTCCTCTACTATCTTTGCATTACAAATGCCTTTCAACATCACCATCACAGCCTATGCGAGTCCACTGAACACAGGCCACCTTCACAGACTGCCACGAAGTACGATCCATATCCATCGCCGCTCCATCTAGCGGGGGATCCTACACTGCGATGGCTAGGACGAGGCTGCCACTCGAGAATCTTTATTCCATAAGCCGGATACCGTATAGCGAAAAAATTCGATGATGAGCTCCTTGAGCTCCTTCTCGACGGGCATGCCCATTCGTGCAACATCAAAGACTGTTGCGTGACCCTACTACTACGTTTTCTACTCAAGGAGTCCATTTTCCAGGGTAACCTTCAAATGACTATCTTCGCATTTAAAAGGTCTTTTAGTTCGATTCAATGGTCAGTCCGTAGACCGTATCGCGAGGCGGCTCACCCGTGAGCGCCTTGAGCTCCTTCTCCACAGCGGAGAGCCGCTCGCCGAGCGCCTGCTCCATGAGCGCCACGGCCGAGTCCCAGTGGGCGCGCGACGCCACGCAGCGGTCCTGCAGCGCGTTCAGCTGCAGCACGCGCAGCACCTGCAGACAACGGGAACTGCTACCCTCTTTTCTGAGCTTTCGTGCCTACAGCCAAGCCTACAGCTTAGCGGTTACTGCTGTTGCACGAATAGGCGTGTATTTAATGTCTTTTTTGCGCAAATAAAAAGTACTGGCATACGTGATAAAATTTGTAATATTTTTTGTTACGCTAAACAAGTACATTTTTTTATAGTGCGTACACAACTGTACACACACATTTTATATGTCAAAACTTGTGAAAAGAACAGGCGGTTTGCAAGCGTTAACAATCTTTCAAAACGGAAAAAATTGACAGAGATGCAAATAAGTGATGTAGAGTGATATAGCATGGAGATTAGTGATGTGCAGTTATTTAGGGTGGTAATGGAGGCTGCGGCTCACTCAAGTCCTGCGCGCGCTCCTCCTAATAGATATAGATACTCCAGTTAGATACAGCTGGTGGTCTAATTAAACGATATACAGCAGAGTAGGAAAGTGGCGCGCGCTCCTCTCAGAATTGTCTATGATAGTGAAAGAAGAGTTCTAAGAGAACTCCAGTTTAATCACAGCGGTGGAACAGATAAGTGACGTGTGTAGGCAAGTGACGGAGGTCGCGGCCCACTCACGTCCTGCGCGCGCTCCCCCCCTAATAGATAGAGATGCTGTAGTTTGTCATAGTTTAGTGGTCCAGATGAGTCCAGAAAGTGATAGCGCGTCCCACTCACGTCCTGCGCGCGCTCCTCCCAGCAGTGGCGGCGCAGCGCCTCCTCGACGGCGGCGCGCTTCAGCGGCTCGTAGACGGGGTCGGCGTCGGGCGCGCGCGCCATCAGCGCCGCGAACTCGTCGCGCAGCGCCTCGCGGCCCGCGCGCACCGACTGCGCAGGCAGCTCGCGCTCCGCCCACTCGCGCAGCTTGATGTCCACCGCAGTGTTGAACTTGTCTGCGCCGGAGGTTGAAACCTCGCCGGATTGTTATCGAGGCCGATAGGCAATACGAAAGTGGCAGAGGTTGAAAGGTCGCCGGGTTGTTATCGAGACCAATTGGCAGTGCCGAAGTGGCAAAGGTTGAAAGGTCGCTGGGTTGTTATCGAGAACAATAGGCAACATCGAAGTGGCAGAGGTTGAAAGGACGCCGGGTTGTTATCGAGACCAATAGGCAACATCGAAGTGGCAGAGGTTGAAAGGACGCCGGGTTGTTATCGGCAATGCCGAATATCGAGTGTACCGTTACGACGGTAGATTGATACGTGAATAACTTAAATATCTGATTGCCTTTTTTGTTTTGCATGAAAAAAGTTAAGTAACAGCCATTACATGCCCAAATGTTGAACAAAGGCCTCTTTCTCTCTCAAATTAGTAAAACGCGACCTCCAAAATTGAAACTTTAAATACATGAAACGCCCTCTACATTAAGAAACAAAAATCTATAGACGAAATAACCGAAGCAAAAAATTAAAAATAAGAAAAATGCCTAATAACTAAAATATATGAAACAAAAACCTATATCAAATTGAACCGCGAAGTTAATGTCGATGAGGCGGAAGAATTTTAATAAACGTATTACGAAATAAAACTAAAGCAACTCATCTCCAGCAACCAAATATAACTAAACATCATCGTCTACTAAATAAATGAATCTTACTGTAATCGAACTCATACGGGTCCCAGTCAAAAGATGTCACATCGGGTCTCTTGTGCTTGTAAGCCACCTGTTTTAACCTCGGCTTTTCTGGGGAGAGGTAAAGGAAAGGGATGATGGAAGGGGAACATCAGAAATGTGTCTTGCATTTTATTTTCAAAAGGCTTGTAGCTAATGAGGAGTATTGAGTGCTAGTTAACAGATGTCTGTGTACAAAATCGTATGCTGCGTTTTGGCGTGAAAGGTATGCTGTTAATATGAGCATTATACCGACATATTTGGAGTGAACGGTTGTCCTGTTTGGGGTGTACAGCATTCTGGCTTCTGTATAGTCGCGTCTATGTTGTTAATTGTAAGGCGAGTGCCGTGTCGTGCGGAGTGACCAGTATGCTATGTTCGGTTATCGATATGCTATATGAAGTTAGTGTTATGAGAAGCGTATGCTGAGATGAACAGAGGTTGTGCGGTTAGGGAGTTGTGGTATTAGGGAATTTTGTAGGACTTATCTATTGTTGGTGTCTATCCATAACATCGGAATTTTATAACCAATAGTATAAACAAGAGGTCCTAGTGACGATCCCCTCTGCAAACCCCATCGAAAAGCTAGGGCAGAAGTGATATAATTTCAGATATTTAATTTTAATTTTTAGTACCAGTCTCTGCACTTAAGGCGCGTGTTAATGCGTGCGGTATGAGAGCTTTGTAGTCAACTGTGCGATAAAGAGTGGGATTGGTGTATAAAGGTGGAGAAGGTAGTAATTGTGGGGATGCGGTGTATAGTATGGGACTGTGTAATACAGAGCGGTATCGTGGAGTTGCCGGTATGCGGTGTATTGTACGGGACTGTGTGATACAGGGAGAGATTGGTGTATAAAGGTGGATTGCGAACGTAGTGTATTGTACGGGATAGTGTCAAAGTACAGAGTGGGATTTGTGTACCTAGGTGGAGTAGAGCAGTTTTTGTGGAGATGCGGTGTTTTTTACGGGACTTTGTCTAAGTACAGAGTGAGATTGGTGCATACAGGGCAGTGTTATCGTCTCACCGAGGTCGTCGCAGGCCGCCGCCGCCGCGGGCAGGTAGATGCCGGCGAAGACGCGCTCCGCCGCCTTGGCCCAGAGCGCCGCCTGCAGCGTGCGCTCCCAGGCGGGCGCCGGCATGGCCGACAGCTCGGCCGCCTGGTCCAGCAGCTCGGCGCGCGCGCGCTCGAACAGCTCGTCGCGGTCCAGCTCGCGCTGCCTTCCGTTGCGGCATTGCGACTCTCTCTTAGTTCACGGACACGGGGGAGTACGAGCGTCAAGTGGAAGTGGAAGTGTTACACTTCCGCGTTTCGTCCGGCGAGTGAGGTGCTGCACATGTACATGGGCGGCGGTCATCACTTAGCATCACGTGAACCATCAGCTCGCTAGGTACCTTCTCAAATAGAAAAAAAATGCTAAGTCGTTGACTTAGTCACCGCGGTTCGAAGGTTCGATTCCCACACGGGACGTAGAAGGTCGTAAAAGAACTAATATTGCGTTTTTATTTTTTAAAACACTGCCATAACATTCTCGTGCGTTTGAAAGTCGCCCACCTGGGGAAGGTGTTCTTCCACTCGGTCTCGAGGTTGAAGCGCATGGCCTTGAAGGCGTCGGCCTGCTGCTCCACCGTGGCGCGCACCATCCGCCAGAAGCACTCGGCCACCGCCAGCGACAGGTTGCGCGTCGTCACCTGCGACGGCGTCACCAGCCCGTCCCTGCCACGGCACAATTGTCATATGATGTTTCACAGATTTCGCCTATTTCGCAACGATTGTCCCCGCAACTGGTATATATATATATATAAAACGAGCGAAGTGAAGGCGTAACATTCACACGGAAAGACTATGGAAACTATGTGTTATTCTGATGTATAAGCTATATTATTGTAAAGTATCATTTAAATTCATACAGTAGTATTTGCGTGAAAGAGTAACAAACATCCATCCATAATTACAAACTTTCACATTTATAATAATAGTAAAGATCATATTCTAATGATTAAAAGCAGACAAATGAATGTGACAAAATCGTTCCGCGACTTTAAATGAACTAAAACGAAATAAAAACTTAAATGCCCCGAGTTAAGTTGGCTCTGCGAGCTCTTGTACCGTCGAGTGCAGTAATCTCATAACAAAGCTAAATAATATCTAAAAAATAAACGATATTCTATATTTCTATTCCCACGTTACCTGTTACAATGTACCCGCATGCAAGTTAAATCAACGAGATACCCACACAAAATCAAATGGCAACATTCACGACTGTACTTCAAAATGTGATGGGAACGAGAAGGCAATACGAGGGATATTCCACTCTAGTTAGCGCCGCGAAAGGAGCATAAGAAAATATAAGACTAACATGAGAGGTGAGTTGGGGGGAGAAGGAGAATAATATATAATAAAAGAGCTCAGTTGTACCGGAGCGCACGCTTACTTGAAGAGCTTGGAGGAGCGGAAGAACCTCTCCTCGTACTCCCGGATGCTCTGGATGGAGTCGTCCTTGCGGCTGCGGCCCGTCACCACGGCGTAGTAGCCCAGCGCCTTCATGGGGAACAGCTTGCCCTCCAGGATGCGGCGGATCTGGTGGTGGAATTGCAACGTCAATTTGAGTGTCGACGTAGTAGCGACGACCGCTGCGACCGCGATCTTTGTAATGTTGTACACTATACATTTTTTATTATTCCATATTATTTTTTTACTACTTGGGACTCCTAGTCCTTATTTTTATGATTTATTTGCCGGTTGACTGGTAGGGAGCACCTAATGGTATGGTTTAATTCTACAATATTGTACAAACTGTTTTTTAATTTAATAAATAAATAAAGATCTATGGTATATGGTAAAGATATACTGTAAAGCCGATGAAAGGATGTGGGTTTTCGTCGGTTGTTTTCAAAATATAAAGCCTCGTTTGCGTTTGCGTTAGCAAGCGTGCAGTTAGTGAGTCTTACTGTGTCGCTATCTAGTGTTCATGGTAAAAAAGTTTAGCAGTAAATTGAGATTTATTTTTGGATTAAAATTTAAAAGAAAGAGTAAAAACATACTCATACTATTGTGCTTCCAGCACATTTTGAAGTTGTTGAAAGATTTGTAAAAGGGAAAATCTCAAATGTCAAACTAAACACCCTGCTCTTGAAGCAGTCTGAATCTGTCAGCAGTCCGATGGGACAGCACTCACCCTGTTGGGGTTGGCGAGGTTCTCCTCTGCCAGGTCCACCTTCGTGAGGACGAAGATGGTGCGTTTGCCCGAAGGGTCGCAGGAGGCGACCAGGTCCGTCACGTTGCTCCTCTCCGCGTCCACCGAACCGTCCTGACGGTGAAAGTGAAACTAAAGTAATCGCTTATATGACCAGATGACTCCATGGCGCAGTTGCCAAGTATGGGCTTAGGGCTGGGGGTCGTGGGTTGGATTCCCGCATGGGACACCTATTTGTGTGACCCGTAGATAATTAAACTTTAAGTAACGGCCACTATTTATTTAAAATACGTATTTATTTTGTGAAGCAAAATAAAAAAATTGTGAATAAAAAGCAAAGCGAATCCAATAAAGTATGTTGACCATTTCTGCCCTCAATTTTCCCTTAAATCCATATTTTTAAGTTGTTCTTTCTTATTTAAAACTCGATTCTTGGTTATATTTTAGAATAAGTTAAACCTGCAATTTATTATTGAACGAAAACAATTTTCTTTAACACCTGAAATATCCAGTTTTTAGACACAGTTAGCCCATGGTTATTGCCCTCATGCAAAAGTGGGTATCGTCCTATGCAAATCAGTGAGACTAACCTGTATGCAGAGGATGATCGCGTTGGGGTTGTCCATGTAGGTCTTGGTCATCTGCTTGATGGCATCCCTCGTGTCCGAAGCCATATCCACTGTTTGGGTCTGAAATATATGAACAAATGAGTGTGTTAATAATAATAAACCTTATTCATATGAGAAATTTAATAAGGAAATATATAATATTATAATAAATCAATCGGAAGTAAATGTACATAAGTTCAAATTCAGATTAAAAAAATGTCTGACTATAATATCCTTAACGACGAGCAAGAATTATTTCTTCCATTACAATTATAAAAAATACGTATCAACAATGCGGGTAAGTCCTGTATTGAATTTGTAACGACTCAAGATGATTATTGGCAAAGTGATGTTAGTTGAGATAAGAGGAGATTGAGGAACTAAAATATTGCAGATGGCGCAACACGAGGCTGGGGATGGTAGAGATCAGGGAAAATAATACTATGCGGATTCGGTAGGGGTAGATTTGGTTCGAGCGGATTTAATTGCAGCGGATTTGATAAGATATTTGTGAGCCGGATTTGATGGCGGCGGATTAAATAGTGGCGGATTAGATGGGTGCTGTTTAGGTGGGGGCGTATTAGATGGCGGCAGATAAGATGGGTGCGGATTAGGTGGGGGAGGAGACTCACGGATATGACGCCGGGCAGGTCGACGAGCACCATCCGCGGCAGGCCGGGGCCCTTCACGGACATGGCGATGGCCTCGGCCGACACCGTGCGCCCGCCGCGCACGCTGTTGCGCATGCGCAGCTCCACCTCCCTGCGAGAGCAGCCCCCTTACCACGAACTCTTTTACTCCTCCTTCCTTCTCTTTGCCTAACTCTGGCCGAGTTGTCAATTCACTCAATCATCATTCAACATTCAATTCTACTTAACATTTTTTTAACAAAAAAGTCTCGTTATATGACAAAGGCGGATGTAGACAATATAAGAAAAAAAAGTGGGACTGGGATTTATTTTAATACAATTTAAATATTATATTTAATGTCTTTTCTTTTGTAAATAAATTTTATTAATTTTAGATTTTTAACAGGAAACTAAAGAAACACCTTTACACATACCCAACAAAATTCAAGAGACAATATTCAAACTTTTAGTGTTACAACTCAACAACGCCATACACTCCACAACATTAATGACATACATGACAGCTACTATATCGGTTGAAACAAAAATTCTATTTTGCAATATCAATATTATTCTGTCTGTAGTGAAGGCGGATTTAATAAATTTAGATCCGCCGACGCTATGTTGCCCAAACCGCGACACTTACTTCCGGAGATCCGCAAGATCCGACTCCTTGTTGAGGTCGAACTCGCGACTGGAGTCGCGGAACTGGGCCACGTGGTAGGGGCCCTCGGACAACGTCACCTTCACCGGGGCTCTGGAATGTTCGGGCGATTCATAACTTAAGTCAGTCTTCGTTCGAACAGTGTATCGTTAAGGATAATTTTTAATATTACTTTTTAGTCGAATTCAAAATCAAATGCTTGAATTTGATTTTTTATTTTATATTTTAATAAAAAAATTAAAAAAAAGATATTGATACAACATCATTGGGGTTAAATTGTGTTTGTGGTGGGTTTTTTTTACCAGTGATCATACTTTTTCGTCTGATGAATGAAATAGATAACGGGACTCATTTGGCCACCTTCGCTAATAGAATGAAAATAGATTTCGGCTTTGACAAATTGGTCGTTGCTAGTTATTAATATTCTTATATAATTTTTACAATAATTGATGGTGAGTAAAATAAATAAATATTCGCGGACACATTTTACACAACGGTATCTGGTACATAAATACATTTTATATATCTATAAACAACCCGACACTGAAAAAAAACACTATATACTTCAGCACACAATACATTTCTATTAGTGGGGATCGAACCCACACCCTCTCACGAAAAAGAAAGGTTCACTATTCCTCACGCCAACCGGTTCGTCATTATAATTGATGGTATTAGTTATAAATTATCCATCGATCATGCAAGAGAGCTGTCCATTACTCCCCATGGCTTCAGGTCACCGATTCGGGTCATCATTATAAGTTGATCTGTAGCATTAAGAGTTACCGAGTGCACATCTCGCCGGCGCCGCGCGGGAATATCCTCGCTTGCGCGATCATCTCCAGCACCGAGGTCTTCCCCGCCGACTGGTCGCCCACCACCACCACCCTGGGCAGCCGGCCGGCCTCGCCCGCCTCCCAGCCGGCCAGCTCGTCCAGCACCGCCGAGTACATGTCGATGAGCGAGCGCTGGAACACAGCGCCAGTGGGAAAACGAGCCCCCAAGCCATCCGGCTCGAAGGACCAACACCAAATTGTGTAGGAAAAATAGATGGTAGGTTTTTCGCCGCTGTGGCTTCGACCCATTTCTTCTAGATTCACGTCTAGAAGCTTTAAACACTAAGCTACAAGTTAGTAAGTAATTTTTATGTTAAATGAAGTTACTTCTCCGTGAGAAGTTTTACCGATTATCAACAAGACTTATGCTCTCTTAAAATTTAAATGATATTTTTTGAAACATTTAAAGATATAAAACTTTGCCTAACAGTGAGCTAATAACATAAAATTAGTTATTAAAATTTTTACTATATTGTAAAGTTAAAATTTTTCCGAAGATACTAGGTAAAGATTCATACCATTTAGCCTAGCAAAAATAGTCTTTTAAATGTTGAACATAAAGCTAAACATTTGGCGTTACCAATAGAAACGCATGCGGCTATAAAACGGTTTGTGACAGCGTACCTTCATCTTCCTAACGGGCAGCTGTCTACCCTGCTTCAGCAGCATGTTCTGCTGCCTGAGCTCCCTGTTCTCCTGCTCTAGACGCTGCAGCTCGCGCTGGTAACGCGCCTGCAACGCCAACACCTCTTCCTGGAGCGCGTGCACCCTCTTCTCTGTGGTTTATCAACAATAATAAAGACTATATATCTTGGCCTCAATTCACCTTTTGTGATAGTGTGCAACGATTCCCTGCGTGTTTACAAAAAGCATCTACTGAAGTTATTTCACTAGTATTAATTTATTTTTGTTTTTTTTTTCGTTCGTTATTCTTTGTATTTAATTTTTTATGTATTAGTCGTAATTTTTTTTTTATACTATAGTCGCAGTATCGTAAATCTTGTACACACTTGTTATAGATGTACAAATTAGGTCCAATATTTATTGTTTTTTCCTTTTATGTAAATTGTGCAAATATTTATACTGTTAGTATATAAGGTGTGTGTGTATAACAATGAAAAAACCTACGACGATGACATACAGCATCTTGCATAAGTCTAATCTAATCTAGAGAGAGCAGAATAATATCCTTACGAGTACCTTATGTTTAGTAAATTGTTTTTTTTTATCGTACATCTGGTTCACATTCATGATTTAAAAACGCAGAGCATAAACGATGACTTACATCTTATATAATGTACTCATTCTTGCAGCCGTCTCGTCTGGTGAGTGAGGTAGCCGGGGCCCACTTTAATCAAAGATAGCAACGCATCTGCAACCCCATGGATGTTGCAATAGTCCGTGGGTGGTGATTAACACTTAACATCAGGTGAACCGCCACCTTCTCACATAAAAAAAAACAGTCCCAGAAGAACGTAGAACCAACTTACCGTATGCATTAGAATCTTCAGCGGATCCCCTTCCATTTGTGGGCGTTGGGGCCGGTCTGCTCTGTAGGTTATTCGCAATCTTCGGCGCTGGCTCTGCGGAAGGCGTAAAAAGCCGACTCAAATGTGGGTGTCGTTAATTCTAGCTCCGAATCTTAGTATCATCGAATCATTCTATATATTCTATAGTATTATGATCATCCTCCCGCCCTTATCCTACCTGGCTAGGGTCGGCGCAGCATGCGAATCATGTGAATGGTTTTGGTCAGGTTTTTTACGACCGGCCGTCTCGCCTGACGTCAACCCTGCTTGGGAACAAACAACCAGATCCGGAACAATTATCTGTGGGCGCACAAATACTTATTCCGTGTTGGAATCGAATCCACGATACCCGGCGCCGAAGCTAATGGCTTAACAACTACGTCACCGAGTCTATTATGTTAGCTTTATTTGATATTCAAACGTGAGATATTTTTATCGATCACGGCCTGTTATTTATTTGCAAGTAGTTCACTACATTAGCAGCTGAGATAGCATTAAGTCTGTTTTGACTAAAAGCCAAACCAATTCCAACCTTTTTCCTACCTCATAGGATTCAACTTCTAATAACCTCGTAGGTTGTATCGTTAAAGAATTCATCGTAATCATAAGCGTTCTGTAGATATCACAAAGCGCAATTAAGTATAAGGTTTCTACCTTACGATTCATGCATACTTTACCAATCAATTATTTTAAAATTGACCCGACATCTGATATTACAAGAAACATTCTTTTCCGTGATAATTCTCATAATAAATTAATTTTTATTAATTCTAATTCTTTTTTTCATTTGTTGAAAAATAAAAATAAATATGTATGTATTGGAATAAATATGGTAAAAATAAACTATGATAGCGATATAATAAAAATGAATAAATGATAATGTATTACTAGTATTAAAATACAAAATATATATTTGAAATTAAAGGTAATACAAAATGTGCTTTATACTTAAGGAATTTAAATTAAATTCCCCTAGTAAATTAAGCTACGATGTTGAAGATATTTCCGATATAATTAGGTAGTACAATCTTTTGGTTGTCAGAAAAATAAAGGGCAGCGAGAGAGTACTCTACTATTAAGTTCCTGTTGCGATTATGATTGCCAATTTAATTGGCTTTTATGATGAATTGTCAAATTCATCTGTAATTATATCAAGTAAAATATTTACTAAAAAAAGTAATCTTCTTCGAGGTGATCTTCGAAGTCAAACACAGAAGCGGTGCACAATAACAAAATTGGCAAAGATGATCTCTAAAATGTTATTTACTACTTTATTGTACTATATGGTAAATTTTTTATAGTACTACTCTCTGCACTTACATACTAGTAACTTTTTCTACATATTTAATATATGGTAACTGTTATTAGTTGTCACATACAATTAAGGCATGCAAAAACAGTACACATTTAAAGCAAAAAATATTCAGCAATATGAATGCAGTGAGGTATGTATATTAGAAGCAAAACATTATATGACAGACACGATTGAAAACAAAAGAAGATGAAGTGGGTAAAGAAAGATTTGAATTGCGGTAGTGATGGATGGCGGTAACAATTGATTGTGAAATAAATCAGTAGAGGCGATTCATTAGATCCAAGTTATATCATAGATTGATGTGTTTCATACACTTTCAGTTAAATCTTGCTAAGATTTAAGGTGGCCAGAATTGGATCATATCACTTCAATAATCTACATTGTTCACAGAAAAGTTCTCATGAAGATCTTTCGTGTATTTTAGTACGCACGTAATCTGAACTACTCTAGGTAGATTTTTTTCTAGTCTGAGTTAGATCATATTCATTCAACAATTTATATTGTTCGATTAAAAGGAAATCTGGTAAATATCTTTACTTTCAACTCAGTGTTAAAGATTTTAAAGACTTATTGTGTTTCTAAAGTCTTCTTAGGTTCATCTATATCAATTCCAGGTCAAGAATGTGTACTGTCCAGTTAAGTCCACAGTTGATCCAAATAAAGATCTCACACATTTCTAAAATCAAGTCGATTCTGGTCGAAATTTCTCCCAGTTTGGGTTAGATCAAGCCAGGACATGACTAAATGTTCTCACATCACCGCCTGTCGTAAGATTCGTATTAAGTTCACAGTTGAAACACTCGTGTGAAGAGCACTCCGTTGACCTGGATAAGTTGGAGAGGTCGTACCAGGTCAGGGGTCTGCCCACTCGAAAGTCGGACGCAAAACCGTCAGGGGCCGTAAGCGCGGATCTCCAAACTCACCGATGTTGTTGGCGGCCGCCGCTGCGACGGCGTCCTCGTACCTCTTCTCCAGCCAGGCGCGGATCTCCGCGGCCCGCTCCAGTCCGGCGTCGCGAATCCGCGGATCTGCGTTCAGCGTCAGCTTCAGCGGGCGACCTAGCGCGCACACAGCCTTACACCGTGCGTACATACGCAACTAGCGACCTAACCAACCGCACACACTGCTCACTGATAAACGACTACAATGTGTCGATTGTTTTTTTTTTTAATATTCGACTAACGTCACAATATTCAATATACGACTATCGTTCGAACGCCAAAGGTGAATTTTTCTTTCATTTAGAACGGTCCCTTGTCGGAAAAAACTAATAATATATTGCAAATTAGAGAACATAAAGGAAGCAACTACGCTAACATTTCTTAATAATATAACCTTGAGTAACTTTTAAATGATGCAAACAGAAAAACGGGCAATATATTGTTTCAGATAAAAGAAATTGTTATGTATTACAGTGTAATGTAAAGTGTAAAGTAAAGCCAATAATGCAGATTAAGTTCAAACGGAGACAGATTGTATTATGTGCACAAGTCCATCATAACATTCCATTGAGTGAACCATTTGTTTACAAATTATTTCCTTTATAAGAAAAAGTAGATATGGAGTTAAACATATTTTGTTATGTTAGCTATAAAATCTTTATTCATAATAACTCTAAGATTCACAGTTTAACGGAAAGTTTAAAAGGTATGTGTTATACAAAAAATTTTACATAATTACAAATTACATTATGCCACTTAGGAGGAGTATACGGACTTTCAAGTCAATAAAAAAACCTAATTTAGAATGGTTGATAATAAAGGAAAACATGAAAGTAGTGTACAATGTAAAATACAGGTGTTTAAATTTATGGAAATTTTAAAATAATAACTATTGTAAACTTTGACAGTCAAATTGGTTTTTTGCTTAGAATTTATAGTTATTTTTAACACATTTTTATCCTTAAGTTTAATGGTTTTTTTTAACTTAAAGAACATAAAATAACCAAAATTAATTTTAATAGTTCGCATTAGTAGTACACAAATATACAAACTATGATAAAATTAACTAAAGAAGGTAATAAAATAAATTAGGCCAAAAAATACTAATTAAGGTATATACTACTTTTAAATAGGTATCTATAACGAAATAAGAATATACGAGAATATTTTTAGTGCTGCAACAAGTATACTAATAGCTAAATTCACAAATTACCAATTTGTAGCTGATCTCCGATGCGTTCTTTAGCGTTGATTAATGTAGTTGTGAAACGGTCCCATTGCTCATTGTTTGGTAGAAGCTCGTTTAACCAGCCCATGTCTGGGAGACCATCCTTCCACTCAGCATATTTCTGTTAGTATGAAAAAATTCATTGCACTATTTGTTTTTCATATTCTTTATATTAAATTATAATGATCACTCTACTTCATTAGGCTGGTATTCAAATAAGGAACATTTACTTAAATTATAATTTATAACAACAGCACAAGTTGAAACAAAACATTAAAGTATTCTGATTGGTAAACTAAGAGACTTAAGATTGATATTTTTAATAAATACCTTATTTAATGTCATGCCACCACCAACTGCACCACCCAGAAGTAAATATCGTATTTTCAATACACCCCTAAGGGCACGTGCCACCAGCATTCCATACTTCCGTCTTGGAATATGTATTGGATCTATTGGTTTATAGAGAAGCATGCTTTTGCCAGTCCATATTGAAAACGCCACAGCGCGCTTGTCGACACAAGACCAAGCTGCTGATTTTTTTAATGACGATCTGAAACATGAGCAAATCATATTTATTCTTAAATTGTATTCATTTTGTACAAAAAAAAATAAAAATTTTACTCTGTTTTTAAATCTGCAACTCAACATTTGTATTTTCTCTTAATTTTGGTATGCTTGTTAATGTATATTGATATACCCTAAATAAGAATTTCAGAATTCATCAATGAATCATCAGCACAACATGAGATTCATGTTAGTGGCATTGCCATGTTTTTTATGATTTTCCACCTGCCTGACAATGGAAATAAACATACAGATCCGGAACAATTACGTGTGGGTAACTTTTTCCGCGTGTGAATCGAAATTCGAACCCATAACAACTAGCGCAGAAGTGTAGCTTTCGAGACAACATTTAATAATGAAAGAACTGGAATTTAAATGTCACAAGTCGAAACATTGGATGACAAATAGTACTTTTTATTTACCTGATACGGTTATGTAGAATCCTAGACATAATGCTTATAATGTTTTCGTAACAAGAAGTCTTCTAAATGGAATTGATATTCCTTAAAACATAGTTATCAATTCAGTTTTAGGGTGTAAAATATTTCATAACCTCCACCGGCATTAAACACAAAATTACATAAGTAGCGTAAATAATTATATACGATAGATAGCTTTATTGTATGAAAAATTCCTTAATAAAATAATGTTACACAATCAACTAAAATCATTTTAGGTCACTTCATATTTTGAAAATTTGACAAGTTTCAGACTGCAAATACAAAGGCCATTTTCAACCTGGTTCGGATTACGTTTCGTTTTCTGAGAAATAGTTAAAAACTTGTTTTACAATAATATATAGATAATATACATTGATTCAATCTTTATTTTAAATTAAATTTTAATATACAATATTATACCTAAAATAGTGCCAAAAGTATGTATTTGATCAACAGGAAAAACTTTTAATTATCAAAAATGGTAACATTTTAATATAATATTGCATGTGGAAATGAATATTTTAAATTTGCAACACAGTGTGCGTGTAATGTCAAAAATGGATTGAGATTTTGTGTTTGGCAAATTTCACGTAAAAAAATAAGAACGTAAATTAAAAAGGCTTTAATTGGGGCTATAAATAAAGTGAATTAATAGACTTATATTTGTTTGGTGTTATTTTTATTTAACAGTTATTGTGGCAGTGATCGTACTTCTCTAATGCCACGGCATTGAATATTGCAGGGTGAGTATTACTAGAAATACATCCGAGGTGGCTTAAGTCAAGGCTGGGCACTGCTTATTCCGCGTCAATTAACCCAGCGGTGAGTTGTTCGGCCAGGAAATGATGATATCACTGTCAGTTCTTTGAACTTTGTCTGCAATGATGTAATTTTTTCAAGTGCATCTGAATAGAGCTTCCTTTGATTGGTGGGTGCTATTTTTAGTTCGAGTAGTACGGGCTCTTAGTTGCAGGTGTTATTTGTTTGTTTTCATATCATGCTGCTTATTATTTCTCTTAGCCTTACTTGTTAGAAAGACAGATGTCTGCATGATAATCTTAATTTAATTGAAATAATAATTATTGTCGATATATAAGCATATGTATTAATCTATAGCTCTATTTTTATATTGATTTAAGCCTTGGTGATGACCAGTACTATCACTTTTGCCCAGAGCTTATTTATGACAGGGCCAATTCTTATCATTTAGTTGCTTGTTGTCAAATATTTTTATTGAAGTGAATATAGTCTAAAATACATTAAACTTATTTTATGTTTAAATTTGGTATTTGCTTACAATAATGTGAATATTTTAAGAGTGCAAGTATATAAAGCCATTGCGCAATTTTATGGGTATGAACACAAATTTTAATTATAACATTTTTAATGAGCAGTTTTTGTGGAGTATCAAAATATCTTTGGAATTGTTGTCTATGAAGAATAATATATGTGAAAGATTAACATAGGCAATTTGAGTACTTTCTGCATTAAACAAAGGCACTTTACATAACAAATTGCATATAACATCGTTCACTTTATAAGCAATCTTATTAATATTAAATAAAGTCTATTTATGTAATGCTATGGGCAAGTCAGCTTATTTGCTTCCCGCACCATGACCAATGTGTAACCATAAGTCATAACTGTGACATACATTATTTAGTAGCTATTTATCCTTATTTGTTTTGTTTGAAGTCAAGCATACTGTTACATACATGTAATTTTTTAAATATTGAAAACAAAGTATTATATTTTGTTTTATAAATTTGTTTTTATCTTTGGGATGGAGACAGCTGTTGTAGTTATTTATTAAGTAATTAATGTAATACTTCTACTTTACGCCGGTCTTCTGTAGGGTTGTGGTACTTACCATAAAAAATATACATACATACCTACAGAATACTGAAATACTCATCATTAACAGACATGGTCACAATTAAGTGTTATGACCTTTGCAGTGCCAAGTCAATTACTACTACTTTTTTCAATGAGGTCACTTCCTCTTAATTTGCAAAAAATACTTTGTCCATAAAATGTCACATTGTATTGTTCTGCACATGTTTCCGTGAAGCGTTTAATTCTATTGAGCTGTTAAATGAATCTGTGATTATGTTTGTTTGTGGATAACATTGGTCATCAATACCCCTATTGGCATTGCTTAGGGCGTCCAAGTACAGTTTATTAACTGTGGTAGGGCCACACAAAAGTATGCGACAGTGCCCGAATGGGCAGGTCCGTCCAGGGAAGTAACATGACCTGAAACATGTGTTTCGACCGGCGAGTGAGGAAACTGGGGCTCACTTTATCAAAAGTGGCAACGCATCTACAACCCCACGGATTTTGCATATGCCGTGGCTATAACACAGCCTGATGATAAGTTACATATTCTTGCATAAAAATGTCATTTTACATTTACATACATTTTCCAAGCCGTAGATTTTTTTTGGAGTTGAACTTGAAGTGTTTAATATAATTCTCTATTTGTAAGTGGTGCTATTTAAACACCCACGTGGAATACCAGACGGATGATCATCGTGAGGATTCTGATGACCTCATCTCGCGTCTCCAAAGCATTTTAAACGGTGCCCCACACGCTTAAAGTTCAAATTTGCATGTCCCCCAAAATTGTGCATGTTAATTTTTTCTAACAGCAGTCTCCGTGTGTAAATATTTGTCCGTTTTCCGACACCTCTTGCTCCAAGTTATGATTTGGCGAAGCGCTCATGCGATCGTAATTTTACGAGTAGATCGAGGCCTACACTCTTATATTGAGAGTAAACTGCATTTTATAATGAAAAAAAAAATCCACAGCCCACTTAAATATTTTTTATTTTGTTTTTAAGTATTTGTTGTTATAGCGGCAACAGAAATAAATCATCTGTGATAATTTCAACTGTCGAACTATCACGGTTCATGAGATTCATCTTACAGCATGGTGACAGACAGACACACAGACAGCGGAGTCTTAGTAATAGGGTCCCGTTTTACCCGGTTCACCTGATGTTAGGCGATTCCCGCCTTGGATACTTAAAAGATCAATTGTGCCTCGTTGGTTGCAAAACCAATAGTATGCAGCATGACGAATTCGGACGACACAATTGGCGTATCGGATAGTGTACCTGTCTCTTGGGCCGGATGTTGTGGGTTCGATCCCACTTTAAAAAAATTTAAAATACTAGAAAAACTATATACATATAACATAATGTATTTATTTAAAAAAAATGTATGTTTATCACTAAGTTATTTACTATCCATAAAGAAAATTTAGTTTGGGACTTGATAACGTTATGTATAAACATGTCCTGAAATATATCTATAGATATATTTAGTTATTTCGGCCGCTCATGGTGGATACTTGCAACAATATTGCGTGAAATTTACTGTTATTTTAGTTTATTTTTACGTAATTTCAAACTATTGAACCCCAGTTTAAACTTGGCACTGTGCACCAATTAATTATCCTTCGTTACCCTTTTCTTAGCAGATGCGCTTCGTTAGTATGACAATGGCAGCCCGTAATAAATTCCCACAACGGTCAATAGGGCCGGTCACGCTATGATAACCGTTTTGTTTGTCCATCTCGACTTTTGCCGCGATAAATTATCTCGTAGTACAATTATTGAACAATGGAAAACGATAGTGTAAACAGAACAAAAGACATATATTCGAAGCTCGGCGCCTAGTGCGGCTCAAGTTCTCGCTTGTGTTTCACTTAACATGACTAGTGTTTAACCTGACTATGCGAAACAGTTTTTTTATGTAGGCATACATAGGGACAGACAGACATCGGGACGACTTTGTTTATACTAAGTAGTGGAGATGGCAAGCGAGCTCGCGGCTCACCTGATGCTAAGTGATAGCCGTCGTCCATTGACATTTGCAACAGCCATCGGGTTGCAGATTCGCTGTCACTTTTTAGTGTAGCAGCAAACAGTGTAGTTCGCCCTCGCCTCAGAGCACCGCGAGACCAACACAACGCGTGCACAAGGTGCACCCGCGTTCCAGGACGGTACTCACCGCCCCCAGCCACCGATTAGCTAAAAACACAGTCGACGGCCATCTTGGTCTCGGTCCGCATCGCAACCTCGATGGCCCTTAGATGACATGCCGTAGTTAAGCGCACGCATGAGCACATGCGCGGCCCTACCCACAGCGGAGGGCCCAAACCCGTGGGTTCTGGCTAGCCCACCGGTTCTGCGTCAGATGAAGCGTTAATAGTCTCGGGACTGAATGCACAAACATCAGTTAATACAAGACATACAAGACAAGCTGTCACCTTTAATCAAGTGGAATCCGACTGCCTCACTCACCAGAAAAGCGCTCCAATTTATGCCGCTCTTATGTGTGGTCGTGGTATTTCCCCGGACGGACCTGCCCATTCGTGCAACAGAGAACTGTCGCGTGGCCCTACCACAGTCTATTCGATTCCTTTGCTGAGTAATGAGACTGCAAAACGTGTAGTGACGCTATGCTAAACGTCTTTTTTGATGCTAAGATAAACATCGACGGCGATGACTTTCACGTAACTTAGTACGAAACATAAGCGGCCGTACTGCCAATCGAAAATCAGCTTTAGGTGTATCGGCGTTTAGTCACAAATCAATCACTCATACTTATGCTAAACGATAGTCGTCCTATTTTGGTGCCAATTAAAAACAAGCATTGGGTCTATTAGCATTGGGTTATGAGATAGTTCACCAAGTTCCAAACGAGTTAAGCCTATTTTGCTAGGAATTTATATGGTATGCTCGTCTGGCGTACCGCGTCGCCAGCGGCCTCGGCTTCGCGGTACGTAGGTTCGATGCTCACACGGGACGGGTATTTTTATGGCACACATGTGATAGCTCAGTATCCGGGCGTTTGTATTTAATTCATTATATTTATTATTTAATTAAACCGTTGTTAATTGCAATGTCTTTTAAAACAACTATTTCTGGTACACGGGATAAAATGTTTAGTTGGTTTTCTTCAGCTACACTAAAGAGCTATAATTTCTTACGCGAGTACATAA